GACCTGATTTGGCGCCTTCTGACTTCTTGTCATTTCCTAATCTTAAATAACCTTAAGAGGACACACATTTCTCTTCCATTAATAATGTAAAAGAGATCACATTGAAATGGTTAAATTTCCAGAACTTTCAGCTCCTTAGGGATGGACTCACTGGATGGTATCACTGTTTACCGAAGTATCTTGAACTTGGAAAAAGTTGAATATTGAATTTTTTTATATTTATCTTTCAATTGAATTTTTTTTGAAGTTCCCTTATACTATATGATAAATTTACACATTAATAATGTACATCTGGCAATAATTAACACCCAGGTGTGAGGTGACAGTAATGCTGATCTTTGGAACCTAATGAGTTTGAGGAGTCATTGTATGTGTGTGTGTGTGTGTGTGTGTAAGGGTATATGCATATATGTTTACATGTATTCATACATATATTTACATATGTATACACAAAAGTATATGAGAGAGCTTCAAAAAGTTCATGAAAAAATACAACTAAAAGATAATGAAAACTTTCCATAAACCTTTGAAGACCTCTTTATCTATGTATGTGTGTGTATAAATTTCTAAAGAAGAAAATCTTCTGAATAAAACTCACTATTAAAATGGCATGGCATCTTGGGGCTAAAGTTAAGAGCAAAGTGGACAGTTGGTTTGAAATAGGTGGAGGAGTATGAGAACTCCCAAACTTGCAGACAGTACCCATTTGACATAGCTTGGATAGTTTGCTGACCAGAACTTGATCAGATAAAGATAAAAATTGATACAGGGAACCAATGTAAAGTGGTACAGATCGATGAATTGAAACTATGCTTATGGATAAAGTTGCCCAAAATTCCAAATAAAAGGGAAGGATTCTTCATATCAAGGATCAAGCTTGCCTCCTCAGTACACCGGGGTGATAGGGATGAGCAACTTCAGACTTTGTCTATCAAAATGATGGGCTATAAAAAAGTGGCAGCTTGCAAGCTTTCATGAGGGTACTTAGTGTCAGAATGAGGTAGGTAAGACAGAATCCCTACTGAATAGTTTTCTTCTTGTCCAGATGGGTCTGATGATGATGGGGACAGAATTTTATGACTCAATTGTGGTTGATTATATCAGGATTAATGGCAATTGTCGTAACTGTAAATGTAGAAGAAGTATAACTAAAAGGAGGGAGCAGTTAATCTGTCATTTCAGGAACAAAGGACCCTAGGACCATCAAGAGGACACAGCATGAGATAATCGAGGGATCCTAACCAGAAAAGCGGAAACAACAATGGCGATGGCATAGAGATGTAGAGCAGTAGAAGACTATAGGCCCATGAACTGAGAAGGCAATGTGCCTGCAGGCAGGAGGCTGGATTCAAACTGTGGCCTCTGGACATTTAAATGAATATATATTTATATATTTTCAGTGTGGTATGTGTACATTAAAAAAAAAAAAGTTAACAGAGGTAAATACTGTTCACTGATAATGCATGGAGGGGACTGTAATCATTGCAATGATTTGTTAAAAGTAAAATTGATGATCTGTCCTATAAACCTTCACTCAATTCACAATTAAAGCTTTAAAAAAAAAAAATGGCATGGCATCAGAAGTTCTCTAATTTCACAAGAAGCAGAATCAAGAATGACACCAGCCTAAAGCTGATGATTCTTATGAGGTGACATGCCTCTATACTGTACTCTTTAAAAAAGTCTGACACCAGCTGTCCCTCCCACTGCACTCTCTACATCTCTGTACATTCTATAATTCGTTACAGACCAGGCTCACAGTTATGGGATTTATTAGAAAGTAACAGGCTACAATTCAAGATTAAGGTCAACTGAGAAGTAACAGGAACAACTCAAATACGTATAGTTCTTCTACTCTCTTGGCATGGGCCACTCTTGGGCCCCACTTGCACCTGGCCTCTGTTCTCACTCAGGCAAGTGTTACAACATTTTAGCTCTGCCAGTAAGGATGTAGAGGTACCCCACTCTGCCAACAAACCTCCGGCCCAAAGATGTTCAGCTGTCTTGTTAGGATGCCCATGTGGCTGCCTCATTCTGCTGGCCAGGAAATCCAACATGCCATCTCACACTAGCTCTCATTTCTCTGGCACTCCTATTTGCTGCCACTTCTTGTTACCTCATGCCTTATCTGGTGTTACACCTCTCTGTATCCTGTGTCTAGGAAGGAGTCAATGCAAGAATCCTAAATCCAAAGGACTTGCTCTGCTCTTGGCTCTTCTTGATAGTAGTAGTGGCATCCCCATTCTCCACTTCTGGGATTGGGTTTCTTTAAGCCTAGCAGAGTGGCAAAACTGACCAATCCTCATTTAGGGTTCCATACAACATATTTCCATGGTCTCACTCCCACAAAGGTTCCATGCACCTTATTTGCATTATTAGCAGGTTGTCCAATCCCCGCAGTGGGCTACCAATACCTTATTTGTATAACCCCCCAATCATTTTATGAGTCACAAGACCATGCATGGCTCAATGGGCCATATTAAGTAACTCACTGCACCACACTCACCGAATGGCATTGCTTTAAGTTGTAATCAATATTTTACAGGTGAATTCACATCCCAAGTCAGGTTTTTCAAAGTAGTATTTACCAACCAATAAACGGGGGTGGAAGGGACAACAGCTGATCTTGATTCTGCTTCCCCTAGTGTGAAATTAGAGAATTTCTGATGTTATGCTGTTTATTTTTTTAAAAAAGCTTTTATTGTGAATTGAGTGAAGGTTTACAGGGCAGATCAGAAACTACCCTGCATTCAGAGAAAAGATCTCTTGGCAAAGCTGGGAGGAAGGCACTGCAAAAATAATGATGGACTAACTTATAATTACTCCTAAAAGGGATACCTTTAAAAAAGGAATCCAGAGACTACCTAGGCAACATAGAAAGGTCCCGATTCATCTATAAGTGTACCTGACATTTCAGGGCATTTGGAACTCTCTAACATAAAATTCTGTGTCACATTCTTTCACTTAACTCATAGTAGCGCCTACCAATGGACAAAATTTTGTTCAGTTTCTAAACATAGTTAAGCTGAAAAGCTATTCAAAAGCACATCTTTATAAATAGAAAATAAAAAGTTTAGAACTCCTGTATCTTATGACAAGAAATGGCTCAAAGCCACTAAACATCATTTGAATCACGTAGAAAAATTTTTTTTCTTAAAAATAAATAAAGAGGGGGGTGGGGACACATACAATAGCCCCCTTGTTTCCCATGTAATTTTAAGAAATAGAATTTCCCCTGGGGGATGGTAGGAATGTGATTTCATGAGAATTACTAAAACTTGGAAAGAGTCCACAGATCTAAAATAATAAAACTATTTATAAATGGACAAATTTCTACTGACTTATAACTAAAGATTTTTTTTTTTTTTCCCTGACTTCTAGGAAAAATTCCCAGTAAATTAAGCTAGAATTATACAAAGTTTACATATTCAGGGAAAAGCTGCAAGAGTATTTATAAAGTATGCTATATTTTTCAGAATGTTTTTCTTTGGCCTTTTAAATGGTTGAGCCAGTTTAGTGGCTTCTAGGTGTAAACTTGGAGAACATTGTAAAAGTATATTAGATAAAAAATGAAAAACATTTTCATCATTCCAAACTAACAATACACAAGTGGCAAACTAGGTTTTGAGGCTCCCATTATGCCAAAAATTATCATAATAATGGGCTCCACACTATCTAGGAAAAAGATGGCGAGAAACACAGAAAACAGAAGAGAAAGGTACACATGTTAGTGTAATTTGGGTGCTGCATTACTGGTGCTATTTAATTATGTGACTGATGCTATATGTTTGGGAGAGAGATGGCAGAGGTACATCATCAGATGGCTGAATCATACTGAGTCATTTACACACACCCCCAAAAAAAGACTAAAGGTTAATTAGAAACATGTGCAACCGACAATGACATATATAGACTCAAAATACAGAGAAAGTAAAAAGAACAAAAAAAAAAAAGGAGAATGGGCTAGCTCTACTAACAGAATAATTAAATCAGAAAGATGTTTATTGTTGTTGTTAGGTGCCATCGAGTTGGTACCGACTCATAGTGACCTTATGCACAGCAGAACAAAACACGCCCCATGATCCTGGGCCAACCTCACTACTGTTGCCACATTTGAGTTCATCGATGCTGCCACTGGGCCAACCCATCTTGGGGGTCTTCCTCTTTTCTCTGACCCTCCATCTTACCAAATATGATATCCCTCTCCAGCGACTGGTCCCTCCTGATAATATGTCTCAAGTATGAGATACGAAGTTTGGCCATCTTGACCTCCAAGGAGCACTCCTCTGGCTGCACTTCTTCCAACACAGATCTATTTGTTCTTTTGGCAGTCCATGACACTTTCAATATTCTCTTCCAACACCATAACTCAAAAGCATCAATTCTTCTACGGTCTTCCTTATTCACTGTCCAGCTTTCGCATACATATGAGGTTATTGAAAATACCATGGCTTGGGTCAGGTGCACCTTAGTCTTCAAACTGATAAAGCTTGAAAGATGTTTAGATATTTAAATTTTAACTACTAACAACTAGCAAAGTTGATGACATGATACCCAAACAATGTGACTATGATTCCTTAAGTAAGACACTGGCCAAGCAAATTTATTAAAATAAGAAATGGCACATGAGAACATTTGTATTCTCCTCTCATATCTATAGCAAACAACATCTCTGGGTTTCTCAGAATAGGTTTAAGTTAATTGTTACAGTTGTTTCTCCATATTTGGTGGTTCATTTACAGAGAGTTCAAAAAGCTAATTAGTCACATTCAGACATCAAATCAAGATGGGAACACTGTTCCTTTCTTCCTTAAGGATAAGGAACCAAAAATAAAATCCTTATTGGCTTACGCAGGACTTACACCATTTTTACATGGAGCTTGGGCCTTAACATTTGTTATAGTTTGGTATCGTTTTAGAGATAAGGATTGCTAAAATAGGCATACAACCTGAAGTATTAGTAAAGTCAAAGAAAGTATTAGAAGCATGAAGGTACTGACCCATGTCCTGAGGGAGCAATGAAGTATAAACAACACTGCACTCTGTTGTCCGGCATCTGACGTCTGTTCACGCGAGATTCTGCATTTAGGTAGTCCTCAAATTTACTATCAATGTAATCGATTACAGGCTGCCAGCTATAGAATGCAGAGAGATTAAATAATTAAGATGCAATTATTAATCTTATAATAATTAACACAATATTAAATAGTGTCAACTAATGACGCTATTTAAAGGACAACAGTTGTAATCAGTATTTTTATCGTTGATTTGTAACTTAGGAGACCTTCTGTGTTGCAATGAACAGCTTGTTCAATAGGGTTTTCTTGGCTGTAACCTTTACAGAAGCAGACTACCAGGTAAGAGTAAGTGAGAGAAAGGATGCTGCTCGATGGGTTCATACTGCTAAGCAAAAAAAAAATCCCACTGCCATTGAGTCAATTCCAACTCATAGTGACTGTCATAGGGTTTCTGAGACTACATTTTTGTGGAAGCAGCCTAATCTTTCTGCCATGGAGCAGTTGGTAGGTTTGCATGTCTAACCCACAGTGCCACCAGGGCTGCTTTTTGGGTTACCAGCTAAGCTAAAGCTGTCTGTGACAGACAGGGACCTTTTCTGTAATCGGTATTTTTAAACAGGCACAATCAACTTAGCAGGTGGATGCTATTTTCCCTACTTTTCTACATATTGATTCAAGAAATTCATAAATCATATGTTAAATAAACCTGATTTATTATTTCTAACTTTCCAAATAAAATCATCAAAATATTAATTTAGCACATTATTTTTATTGATAAATTTATCAATGCTAAGCTACTTTATCTACCAGCTGCTCCGCGGGAGAAAGATGAGGCTTTCTACTCCCGTAAAGATTTACACCCTCGGAAACCCTGTACAGGGTCGCTATGGGTCGGA